TTGTGACCTTAAATACACGCACACACTTTAGAGAGAAGACCGATGGTCTTATGAAGTGCTGTTGGATTGGGAACTGCCGCACAAATATCAGATTAACATGGGGATGAGCGAGCAACGTAACCAGATGAGCGTAAACTCTTACGTTGCAGTCTCTCCACAACTCTTACGATGTAGTCTACACAGATGTAACTCTTACGATGTAATCTCTACACAGAACACTATGTTAAGTGCCCCTCGCTTCAAGAAGGTTTGAGCCTATTGGTAAGGAAGGCATCTAGGTATTGAAGCAGAATACTGAGAGCTTAAAAAATGAATCTACAGCAGGACCCTGGAGCTGAAACACAACTTTCTAGACGTGACACAAGTTTCATAAAGCCGCTTATGCCTACAACAGGCTAATTACATGTTATAATCACTCGAGACTTAGGCCCTACTTTAATTCGTAAATTTACGGCACATTATTTCGTGAACCACTATAGATAGAAGCTTTGTTATTATCGTACAGTATTCTTTTATATTATTTAAAACTAAGTTCGGTAGTCTAGACATGCTTTGACTAATATTTTAACTCATGTATTTACATGCGTGTCTGAGCCTAAGCCTATAACCATGTTAAATTAATTTCAATTACATTTTTACTAATTTAATATTAATTTTTAGTTTAATTTATAATAAAAATATAAGTGCTTGCCCCATTTTGGAACCATACGAGCCTAAACTGGTACAAACTACCAAAAGCCGACAAACTGTTCTACCAAAATTAGTTCAACTTTGTTTCATATTGATATAAAATGCAAGAAAATTAAGAATACAATAATTATGCTACTTTCTGATTACATTTTGTGTGTGTGGATAGGCAGGCAGGAGGGTTACTGAGTGTGGATAGGCAGGCAGGAGGGTTACTGTGTGAGGGTAGGCAGGCAGGAGGGTTACTGTGTGAGGGTAGGCAGGCAGGAGGGTTACTGTGTGTGGATAGGCAGGCAGGAGGGTTACTGTGTGTGGATAGGCAGGCAGGAGGGTTACTGTGTGAGGATAGGCAGGCAGGAGGGTTACTGTGTGAGGGTAGGCAGGCAGGAGGGTTACTGTGTGAGGATAGGCAGGCAGGAGGGTTACTGTGTGAGGGTAGGCAGGCAGGAGGGTTACTGTGTGAGGGTAGGCAGGCAGGAGGGTTACTGTGTGTGGATAGGCAGGCAGGAGGGTTACTGTGTGTGGATAGGCAGGCAGGGGTGTTAGTCAGTAGACAAAATATTGAAGTTCTTGCGAGGCAGGATCAGGTATAACATTTGGGGTTTGCGGCTCATGCTCGGTGATGTTATGGAAAATTGGTTTACTGAGAATTATATAAAATATATATAAATGTAATCATTTCCCCTGTAAATTGATGTAAATATAATCTCTAAAACTGTAAATCATTTAAGGAAAAAAACGTATAACATTTAGGGGTTTAAAGTTCATGCTCTGATAATATGAAACATTTGTTTACTGAGAATTATACTACTGTATATGTAATGTAGTATTGCCTTGTAAAATTGATGTATATATGACTTATATTTTATATTAATTAAGGTAAAACACCTTTGTGACTCAAATTCCTAACTGAAACAGATTCGTTAGGATAATTCTAGCACAATACGCCTACCTCCATACATTCATCAACAAATCCCACAATACAATTTAAAAAAGGAAGGACTTGACAATAAAGGTCAAGTTTATAAAGGTCTGTTCATAATTAGGCCTAGACTATGGTTTACATTTATTATTGCACAAAAATAACCTTTCAATAAATAAAATAGGGATAACAAGCATGGAAATGTTAATGGAATTCCATTATATTTAATTATCAATAAGAAAATTCTGCAAAGCAAACACACAGATTCCGCATACAAATTAAATTGTCTAGACCAAAAAATGAATTTTGAGCATTTCTTTAAAAACAATTACACTGACCTTCCAACAAATACACAAGCTCAACTCAACAGGGCCTTAGCTTATTGCGAGCTCTCAAATAAATGCACTAACTGTCCCCCAATATTTAAAACAAATTCCCAAAAAGTATTAGAACTTCCAAAATTTACAAACTCTCCCCAAGTAACCTATACAAACTCTTCGAGAATTCAAATTCCCCCCATGTATACAAACTCCCAAAGATTACAAACTATGTCCAAGTATACAAACTATACTCAAATATACAAACTCTCCATCCAGTTTACAATCTCAAAAAAGCAGATAGAACTAAACCTAACTCTCAAATAACAGATGCACGAACTGGACTCAGGAAATACCGCTTAAAATAAGTAAACAAATCCTGACTACCTCTAAGATATCAAAATGCACATTGATGACGGACCGGTCTGAGAGAGACAGAGAGAGAGAGAGAGAGAGAGAGAGAGAGAGAGAGAGAGAGAGAGAGAGAGAGAGAGAGAGAGAGAGAGAGAGAGAGAGAGAGAGAGAAAGAGAGAGAAGAGAGAAGAGAGAGAGAGAAGAGAGAGAGAGAGAAAGAGAGAGAGAGAAAGAGAGAAAGAGAGAGAGAGAGAGAGAGAGAGAGAGAGAGAGAGAGAGAGAGAAGAGAGAGAGAGAGAGAGAGAAGAGAGAAGAGAGAAAGAGAGAAAGAGAAAGAGAGAAAGAGAGAAAGAGAGAAAGAGAGAGAGAAAGAGGGAGAGAGAGAGAGAGAGAGAGGGGCGCTCACAGAAGACTACTACTGTACAGGCAAACTTCATGAACATATACAAGGGAACTTTACCGGCCGACTTGACAGTGAACACTAAATTACGTCAATCAGGCTTCGCTAGGATCAAAATTAGTGCTATTCTGGTAGTCACCCTGACTCCTAAACAAAAATAATGGGGAAAGGTACAGCAAAGTTCAAGACAAAAAGCAGTAGGACAGGAAAGAGGAATGGATCGACTGGGTAAAGGGAGTGAGCGAAGGAGGAAAGGAGAAATGGAAAGGGAGAATGGAAGGATGTCTTGATTAAAAGGAGATAGAATGGATGGATGGGGAGGAAATAGTGGCAGTCATAGTCATCTCTATGACAATGATAATAGTCATAGAGAGAGAGAGAGAGAGAGAGAGAGAGAGAGAGAGAGAGAGAGAGAGAGAGAGAGAGAGAGAGAGAGAGAGAGAGAGAGAGAGAGAGAGAGAAAAAAAAAGGCAGGTATACAAGTACCTGTATTGTATTTCAACCACACGTGTCTGGTCACCGGCGCCTTAGTGTCTGGATGGCGCCTGGTAACACCAGCAAGTGGGCGTGATGCAAAGGAAGGATTTCACTCGCTGACAACCCACAGGTCTCCACCTCCCCCATCAACCCCCACAGTTGATGGGGAAGAAGGAGGCTACATACCGCCACAAACACGGACACAGGATTATAGCCTAGTATATAGCCTATGCCAGCTCATACACAAGTTTACATAAATTTTATATTTAGTGTTTTACTAAATGAACTCTTCTACCACATCACATACACATATCTAGTAACACATCCGAAAATTTAAACCCGTTCACATTCACACACAAGTGTTTAGGGCTATTTATGCTCGTGCCACCTCTTTGGTGGCTTAATCTTCATCAATCAATCAATCACACACGAGTCGGCTATATATAGGCTACCCACTCACACACACTAGTAAACACTCCCATACTGCTTCCATCCAACTTATAAGCTTGGGTACGCTAGGCTAAAACATACGATATTCTAATTCATGTAAGCTCGCGTGCCAATTCGACAATCCTGAAATCATATCATGTTCACGTCAGGCACCTACACTAGGCTAGTGGTATAGTTTTCGAATCATGTGTAGTCATCTAGTTATGCTTGCGAGGGTTGAGTTCTGGATCTTTGGTCCCGCCTTTCAACTGCCGATCAACTAGTACAGTGGTTCGCGAGTTTATTGGGTCTTATATTTACATTTGAAACTGCGTAAAGAGTCTGCCTTAACCACGTCATTTTTAAGTGCATTCTATTTATTTGGCTATAGTGACACTGAACAAATATTTATAATGTCTCTGTGGTTCATTTGGGTACTCAGTATCCACCTTCGTCCCCTTATGCGAGTATCACCTGTGCTAAAGTCTGCCTTTATCTATTCTATTAATTCCTCCAAGAATTTGTAATGTGGTAATCCTGTCTCCACTAACTTTTGTATTCCTGCGACGTGGGTTAATGTATGTGAGCAAGTGTGGTTAGGTGTTGAAGATGTGAGGGGTGAGGAATATGGGTAGTGAGTGCGCGTATACTGTATTGACTGGTGAATGCGAGTATAAATTGGGTGTGGAGCATGAGCGTTTGTGCTGTGTAAAGTGGGTGGTTGTGACGAATGAGGGTACTTGCATGCCAAATAGGTTATGAGTGAGATGTGGAGATGGTTACGACTTCAAAGTGAGGTAGTTAAACGCTGCTGTCGCACGGGCGAATATTGTTTTTCTATGTTCTTGACGCGACGACTACTGCTTCGAATTGGTGCGGGTGATAAAGAGCCTTCATTGATTTTGACAGGTACAGTCGCGCTGGCGTCGGTGAGTGGAATTGTAGGGCGAGTAATATACTATAATGGCATGTGGTTTAGCATGTGGAAAATGTGGTATGGATGTTACCTATGGTAACCCTTATGGTATACCTTATGGGGGTAAGGTAGTAGAATGCGTTAAGCCATTACAATATATCACTTGGAAGAGATTTCAGGATAAGAATTTGGGAAAGGAGTGGGGTTGAAATAGCCTAAGCTACTCTATCCCTTTGAGATGTATTTCTTTCTTGTCTCAATAAACATACTTGAACTTGAACTTGGGAATGGACTCAGGAACGGAATCATGTCCAACCACTTGGACTGTTGTAGAGTACTGAAGACATCAGGCAGTGGAGTGGGTTGTGGGATGTGGTGTGGTTGTGGCTAGTGGTGCAGTAGTGAGGTTGATGATCAAGGTGGGTGGCTGAATTGGCTTGGGTTGTTATTAGTGAGGGGATGGGTGGGGGAGCGGTTGAATATATGATGGGCGCGCACGAGGTGTGGGCGTGGGCAGTGAGTGACAAGGACTGTGGGCGTTGACCTGGCAGCTGCAAGCAACATGGGCGGAGGCCTTTACGTATTTAAAGGATATATCGCGCGTGCGGAATTCTGAAGTATAATTAATACACCAAATTAACACAATTTCAAAATATATAAATATACACCAATAATAAGGCAATTTACAAACTCCTCGATAACCGAAGCATTATATACATATACAGGTTTCTATAAAGAACATCACTTAAGCCTGTGGCTTAAGACATGACAAGTTACCTTGAAAGACAGCCTCGAAAGGTAGTTTGTCCTTGTTAGTAGTAGTGGGTGTCGGAGGCGACGCCAGCGCCACCCCCAGCACGGCGGCCGCCACCCACACCCGCCTCCCCACACACATGGTGGCTCCTTCAAGCTCACTTCCTTATTCTACTTCTTCTTCCCTTGTAAATCCTACTGAAGCATCTTGTGCTTCCTGGTGCGTCACCACTTAATTGACCGCCCGCTGAACCTATTGCCAAGTTACCGGGTTGAGTTGTGTTGTTTAAAAGGAGGATTCGAACGATGGTCCCCTGTGAACTCGTCTGCCACCCGCGGGGGACAAGATCCAACCGGTTTCTGGCACTGGGTCAGCGGTTTCTACCACCGCTTATTTACTTACTTGAGTAACCGTAACTCACTTTACTCAACAATATATAATTTCAAATGTCTGGCCTAGATCTGTATTATCACCTAATGTTTTCTATCACTTTCAGAAGATCAAATTTCGCACACTTTCCGCAATCTCCACTGCGTATCGGTGAACAGAGAGGCTCAATTTAGCCCAAAAAATATAAAGGTAAATCGACTTTAACACGATCAATTATTATTGCTTCAGTTACACCTTGGAGTGGCAGAGTGAGAGCGACTCCCCGTCTCCCTTGCCCTCCCACGGTATACTATTGCTCTTCCCAGTTTACAATATCGAATTCATTGTCGCCGGCGCTCCCTGGAAGGTGTCGTACCGCATCAAACTTTTAATGATACCTAACCTGATAACCTTAGCTCACCTGTTTCATAAACTATAATGCATATAATCAAATGAATTTATACAAAAACAAAACGAAGCTTTAAGAATTTTCTAAGTAAGCGACAATTATGAATGTATAATATTTCTTTGGATGAGATTAATACACGTGATTAATTATTAATTGTAAATATATTACAAGGAGTAAAGGGTATTACTAATATATAAGAAACGATACATGTACATAGAACTTATTAAAAAAATGCGTCCGCCAGCGATCTATGATCCTTGGGATGGCAGCTTCCAAAATAATCTTTACGCAAAACCCTACTTAGCTAACAATACAAAAATTATACAACGCGGTCATCCTACAGTAACCGAACTTATCTCACAAGACATAATTTTGGTATTTATTCTAAAATATAATATAAGAGATAGACAAAGTAGAAAATTCTTAGCTATCGCACCCCTGGCAGCCACCTTGCACCTGCGCATTGGTACAAGTTGAGAGAATCAATGAAATATAAACTGAGTCTGTATGACTGGTCGAAATACACCCGTTCATCTGAATTATTCACTTCATTGACAAATCTCAAGTTGATATATATACACATTATGCAAAATATTCACAACTACACATTCCCGACAATATATAACACGTAACTTTAAACAAGTTCAGCAGATTTCTCCTTTAATAGTGCCTCTACCTTCCCCCCGTCCAATACAATTTTGAAAAGACACATAATTAGAATGTCAATATCCATTGTAATGATAACATTCACTCTTCACGCTTCAACCGTTGACAATCAATTATTCAAAAACGCATCGTTTAAATCGAATTCAACTCAAATTAACGAAAGACTTGAGTATCCTAGAGAAGGCAAACTCCATGGAGGTCCCCTCTCTCTCTCTCTCTCCACAAAGGACAGTCAGGTTATTGCAATTTCCTCGACTGTATGACAAAGGTAGTAACTATAAGTTTGTTTGTTGGGTGGGTGGCAGGAGGGAACGGAGAGGAGGGGCAGTTGGTGAAAACTTACATAATACCTGGTTATCGCAGGCTACTGCCATCAACAACACCAATAGGATGTATGCAGATAGCATCCTGTAGTTGGTTTATTGTTTTTATACATAGTTTATATACATACTTTAATGTATATATATATATATATACTGTATTATATATATATATATGTCGTACCTAGTAGCCAGAACGCACTTCTCAGCCTACTATGCAAGGCCCAATTTGCCTAATAAGCCAAGTTTTCCTGAATTAATATATTTTCTCTAATTTTTTTCTTATGAAATGATAAAGCTACCTATTTCATTATGTATGAGGTCAATTTTGTTTTATTGGAGTTAAAATTAACGTAGATATATGACGGAACCTAACCAACCCTACCTAACCTAACCTAACCTATCTTTATATGTTAGGTTACGTTAGGTAGCCGAAAAAGTTAGGTTAGGTTAGGTTAGGTAGGTTAGGTAGTCGAAAAACAATTAATTCATGAAAACTTGGCTTATTAGGCAAATCGGGCCATGCATAATAGGCTGAGAAGTGAGTTCTGGCTACTAGGTACGACATATATATATATATATATATATATATATATATATATATATATATATATATATATATATATATATATATATATATATATACTGTATTATATATATATATATATCAGCCAATATTGTCTATTGTGATAAATTATAAGTGGCGAAGCCACTATAGATTATAACACCTTGGCAGAGTAGATAAAGTTAGTCAGAAACAAGTGGTGACTATTAATGCAAGTTTGAGCATTATTATCAGTTGCTAAAAGGAGACACTCCAAGTTAATTTTCCGTTGAATAGCACAGAGAGTCAGCAGTTATTATCATACTGGGCGCTATACTGTTTAATTATAAATTAATCAGATTAATTCCTTACCTTCCTTACAGAGTTCTCAAGAACTCTGTAAAGGAGGAAATGTAGATGTTTATCTCTCAGAATGTTTGGTAATATGTTTATTGTTTGTGATGTGTGTATATGTATGTATTAACACGATGTACTGAACGGGATGAGAATAGCTTGAGCTACCTCATCCCTTGGTGTGTATTTTACATCAATAAACTTATTTCAATTTCAATTTCAAGAACTCGACAGAAATTGAAATATTACATGTTATTAAACGATGAGTCACAATAACGTGGCGAAGGAATGGTGACCAGACCACACATCAGAAAATGAAGAAACGACAACGTTTCTTAAATGAACAAATCCACAAGGGCCGTGACGAGGATTCGAACCTACGTTCGAGATCATCTCAGACGCTGCCTTTATCGACTGAGCTTACTGCCCTTATTTGTTCATTTGATGCATCACGCTATTGTGATTTGTGTGTGTAACGTTTTTTTAAGTTTCTGGTGTAGTTAAATGACAAATAATTAGACCAAAATCAATATATAAATAAGTCACTATAGTCACCTCTATCCACCAACTTTAAAGCCAGATTCGACAAAAAATTCGAGCGTCAGAAGAATTAAATTAAAAATAGGAACAAAACATTAGTAAGCGAGGCATGAAGAGGTAGACCTTACCGCCCCAGAAATCACTTTAGTAAATAGAAAAAGTTAAAAATTAGGCTTTAAACTATTTTCTGGCTCTGCCGTTTTCTTGTAAAACCCGATTTTGTAAACGATTTTCTTGTAAATCAATAATATTTCAACCACGAACGTTGCTATCCATTTACAATGCTAACCATTATTGTAAATGGATAGCCATTTTCATTTGTCGTCCATGGAAAGTGTTAGTGATCTGTTAGAACTACATATAGTGCAGTAGATTAGAACTACATATAGTGCAGTAGATTAGAACTACATATAGTGCAGTAGATTAGAACTACATATAGTGCAGTAGATTAGAACTACATATAGTGCAGTAGATTAGAACTACATATAGTGCAGTAGATTAGAACTACATATAGTGCAGTAGATTAGAACTACATATAGTGCAGTAGATTAGAACTACATATAGTGCAGTAGATTAGAACTACATATAGTGCAGTAGAACAGTAAACCCGGAATGATCTTGGCACACGTCGACTATTTAAATATTAGAAATGTCTGTCTGTGGTATAATGGACTACTATAGGAGCTCAAGACGAATAGAATATATCTCACCTTGAGTCTGTAGTCATCTGAAGTAGAGGAAGACGCTATCCTTGGTTTCAGAGGTAGACGAGGAGGATAACAGACGACTGGCAAGGTCCCGAGGTAATATTCTGATCTATATAAGACTGCTGAGAGGTAATATTCGGCCAAATACAGGAGGTGTAGAGTCAGGCGGGGTCTCCTTGGAGAGGTGAGGTTGGTCTCTGTCATAGCGCATGCGCGGTGCAGGGGGGGTCGGCTTCCACCAATCAGGGCTCAGTACCGCTCGTGAGATACAAGACTTCCGCCGGCGGGTATTTTGAATGTGGCTCCCTCCACAGAGGGAACTTACTTCTGCTAAGAACCTATAGTACACAAATACAATGCTAAACTTATAGCGTAGATTGTCTGATCATCTCATTGGGATCGAACGCAAGGATTGCACAACGAGAGACGTTACCAACCATCCACAGACAACCACAGACTTAACAGACTATCAAGGAATACATCAAGCATTTCAGCAGCCACTTACAAGACCTGTAAATCATCTTCCCTCACTCATGGCGCTGTCTTTACACTAGGTTACGAGCTTAGAAACTTTACAATAAAAATCTAGGATTGTGAAGTTTCGAAACTTAAACGTTCATAAATGTAAAAAGCCATTATGCTTAAGAAATGATGAACAGATTTCATAAGTGGTTCAGTAATTGCTTGATGAATCCTGGTCTAATCTGATAACCTTTCAACGCCAGTTGTCATACAAACAAACAAACACGCTCAAAGTTAATTTTCCGTTGAACAGCACAGAGCGTCAGCAGTTATTTTCTACCGTGCGCTATACTGCTTTAATTATTAATTAATCTAATTAATTCCTTCCGTATCTGGCATATTTTATAAAAATGTAACAATTGCAAACTACTGTAATTTGCAAGTTTACGTTCAGTCAAACTTAAAAACTATCCATAAAAACTTTTTGGATAAGATTCGCAACAGGAAGCCTCATCTATCAGGTAAAGTTTCACCGAGACGATCTCCCAGAGTTTTATCAAGCGGAGGTTTTAAGAAAGTAAGTTCATTGCATTCTCCGGAGAGTTTAAACTTGAAATTTATTGTATTATATTCTTGCTTTAACCTACATGTTTGTAAGAGGGCAAAGCGAACCTAGATAGGATATCATCTAAACCACCTTTGCCTTCACACACACAGTAGATGACGTTAGAGTCACTGTCAGTTGGTTAAACACAGTTTGATCTGGTCTGTAATTGGTTGGGTGACCGCGCAAACAGCCACAATCTTGGCAGAGGGACCTCAATAAACTTAACAGGCTTCCTGTTCCTGACAACCGGAAGCCATAATGTCCCCAACTCTTAGTATTTGGGAACTGCATCGCGACGCAAATGTACTGGGCCTTTGGTGTCATTCCTGGTGCGCACGGAACATTGGGGGCCACTCCAGGCACGTGTGGAACATTGGGGCCACTCCTGGCACGTGTGGAACATTGGGGCCACTCCTGGCACGTGTGGAAAATTGGGGGCCACTCCTGGCACATGTGGAACATTGGGGCCACTCCTGGCACATGTGGAACATTGGGGCCACTCCTGGCACGTGTGGAACATTGGGGGCCACTCCTGGCACGTGTGGAACATTGGGGGCCACTCCAGGCACGTGTGGAACATTGGGGCCACTCCTGGCACGTGTGGAACATTGGGGGCCACTCCTGGCACGTGTGGAACATTGGGGCCACTCCTGGCACATGTGGAACATTGGTGGCCACTCCTGGCACGTGTGGAACATTGGGGCCACTCCTGGCACATGTGGAACATTGGTGGCCGCTCCTGGCACGTGAGGAACATTGGGGCCACTCCAGGAGCGCGCGGAACATTGGTGGGAGGGACGCACCATCTCCAGACGCGCACGGAACACTTGGGAACACCGTATATCAACTATATTTAAGCGACTAGCAACACTGCCGTAACAAAACTTACAATTCAACTACACACCACATTACTCCTGCACATATAAACTATGAATAAACACACACACAGACTATTCACCATAAAATTGTTTGTAAAACATTAAACCAAGCAACAATGGAGACAAGCGCTGGCGGTGTTTGTCACTAGGAGGAACCATGACAACGGGAATGCAGCGTACTGGGTCAATATGTCTGCTAATAACCGCACTCACAGTCGGCGGATTCGTAGGCAGATAAATGAACCCCAGTATTGATGCCTTGCTCTAAGGCATGTTGTTGTGACCCATTATAACAGTCAGTACCTCCCGGTCAAGTTCAAGTATGTTTATTAAGACAAGAAAATGCATCTTAAAGGGATAGAGTAGCTTAGGCTATTTCTACCCCCCCTCCCCAGGCCTCCGGGTTACTAAGACAGGAGAAAGGAGGTTTGGTAGAATGACTCTTCCTAGATTGTCAAAAGGTCTTGGATACATAGTTACAGCCCCGCTCCTGTGCCAGATAAGTCCACTACGGGCTCACCATAGCCCGTGCTACTTGGAACTTTTTGTTCCGAGTAGCTAAATCTAAAATAACAACAGAAGTCTTTGATATCCCACAAAGCTCTACCTAAGAAGTATGAACTTTGAGGAATAGCTGGAAAGGAGATATAATGGGTAAGAGTACCTGACAAACGAGAAATGAAGTTACAGTGAGAGTGGAGGAAAGTACCAATTACGATCCAATGAGACAGAATAGGAACAAAGGGACATAGGAAAAAATTACCCACATGAGCCATATAAACGTTAAACAATAGCTTATTTGCCGTCAGAACACTGAACAAAATATAAAAACGCTAGGAAGTGCCAAAGGCAGACTCCATGCACAGTTTCAAATATAACAAAACCTAAATAGGCTTCGAAAATTTGCACATCAGTCGAGAAGCAGGACCAATGAACTAAAACATCACATTGTATTCGATTATCGGCCAGCATGCACTATAAACGAATTAGGTGACACTGTCTTCTATGTTCAAACAATTTCGCTAAACTTGTGCTGGTGTGAGGCGCCATAATAATCCTTGAAGATGGTCCCGCCAAGCTCCCGGTATAATCCAGGCTCAGCGTAATGACGGAAGGAAATGTGAGCACCTTGTGTAGGTCGGCGATGGTTGGGTGGGGGTGCTCGTGGGTAAAGAGAGGGGTGGATGGGGAGGGTGGGGGTTAGTTTAGGGAGACAGTGGTAGCATGTGAGGGAAGAGAGGAAAGGAATATAATTTATATCATATATTTGATATAAATTATATATTTTATATCATATATGTTATATATAAACATTTATTGTGCCTAAAATCAGCCCATCAATAGTTACATCAATCGCTTAAGTATCAGGCTTGTATGTAACAATAAAATGCAAAAATTAGTAACTCGAGCAATCATCGTCAGGCTTGGACGACTTCCGGGTAGTTTCAGGTCGAGTAGTTCTCAAGATCTTTTCCCGTGTCGTTAAGTCTGCTTGTATGTGTGTCCTGTTGTCAGAAGCACTTCCAAGGAATGACAGAAGCGCCTCACGTAAAATGAACATACATTGACAGGTAACATATAACCCTAATTTAGTTACAAAAGATATAACTGAGATTATTTATATAAAATTGACCAAAATAGTTGACCGTTTCCTCATTATCGCAACTACAAATTTAATTATCATGTCCTAATGTGATAATACTAAGTCAATTTACCCCTGGGTAATATTTAAATACAAAACGAGTAAAAACGATAAGTAAATGACTTACCTGGCAAAGATCACTTTACATACTAAGCCGTAGGTGACCATGCACTCCCTAGCCTATCCGCAGCTGCCTGTGGTCAGGTCTGGACTGAATACAACGGACGTCCAAACCTGACTGATGAGCCACCCACGGCACGGGCATGAATAGCCCGTAAGTCCACATCCTCACTTTGACTTCATTATATATTTTGGTAGTGATAGAAAACGTAAAACGTGTTGGTGGTTATCGCTAACGTCTTTTGTTAAATTAATAAGCTCATGTATACACAGCAATGTGCTGATATTCTGTACGATTGTTACCCAACTGTTGAGGTATTTTTGGTTAACCGCTAAGCCAGAATTTACATTGGAATGTTTGGCAAATATTGCATTAAATCTTAACAAAAATGAAAATCTTACCAAATATAACAATCTCAGCATGTATGTCACCAAAAATTTAAATCTTAGCTACAGATCACTCTTAGCTACAGAGCAATCTTAGCTACAGAGCAATCTTAGCTACAGAGCAATCTTAGCGCGTATACAAAATTAACTAACACCGATCAAGCAGCAGAACACTGCGTCGTCTGCTCTGGTGACTGCTGTGTCCAACATCGACAGTTTAGTTTCGTATTCTGAATCAGAACAAGATTTGTCTTTCGAAACTTTATATAAGCTTTAGTGCTTTTTCTTATGGCTCTGTAATCCTATTGTGAACGCAAACCTCTCAGAAATTCTCACATTCGTCATTCAGACAGTTACTCTGAGAGGTTTGAGAGGTATCGTGAGGAAAAAGAGGAGAGAGAGGAAAAATAACAACTTGAAGAAAGGGAAAGGCCATGGTACGAGAGTTGTCCATTAAGATTATTACTGGCGAGAGCCTCACACCCCCTGTCCCTCCTTTTTACCCCCCTCCCCCCCCCCCCCTCTCTCTCTCTCTCTCTCTCTCTCTCTCTCTCTCTCTCTCTCTCTCTCTCTCTCTCTCTCTCTCTCTCTCTCTCTCTCTCTCTCTCTCTCTCTCTCTCTCTCTCTCTCTCTCTCTCTCTCTCTCTCTCTCTTTCTCTCTCTCTTCCCCTCTCTCTCTCTCCTTCCTTACTGGCGATATTTCCCGCGGAAATTACCTTTCCTGGAGGTTCGTGTCTGTTATCAGGCGATCAGTGCTCTTATCAGCTGTAATATTCCCACTGGCGGTTCAATATTCCCAGACCTGGAGGAGGGGCAGTATGACATTGAGTGTCCTAACAGAACTATCTGTTGGCCGCTGTATTGCCCGCATTAATACTAATACTGTCGGGACATCGCTGACTATCATCTCCAAATGTTCATCTATAATGGTTTTGATTGTTTATAAACTCATTGAGCATCACATGGACCAAAAATAATGTAAAAATAATTTTATCACGTCGGTAAATAAGAACATAAGGATAAAGGAAACTGCAGAAGGCTTATTGACCCTTACGAGGCGGCTCATATTATTATCTACCTACTCATGTACATTCGCATGTCTAGCTTCCGCTTGAAATAAGGAAGGGATCTCACGTCCAGTTTGTTACCCTGTAATTTGTTCCATTAATGAACAACCCTGTTTCCAAAGCAGTATTTGCCGAGGTCTTTCCCAAATCTAATTTTCCCTATTATATATATCCATTTTTTTCAAGTTCTATTTTGTGTTGACATTTACCGCTTTCTTTATAAAGTAAAAATTGTATGTTTGTGAAGATGTGGACTCCGAAACTCTTTGATGGCCAAATATTTTAGGCTAGCTGGAACAGTCCCTCCCCCAACACCACCTTTGAATGAAGTCACGGCGAATACATTATTGAACTCGACTGTTTTAAGTAATGTGTGTGTTCACCCTGCCACTGACAGTAACTGTCAGTGGCAGAGTGAACTTAATAGAGGCAGGTTGTATTAATCATTCAGCTGGGCTCATATAAGTATAAAGTACCTTTTTCAGTTAACTTTATAAATTGTGGCTGCAGGTAATTTTAGTTAGTGTTCCTAACACTTACTAAAATTACTTGATTTTACCAATTAAAATAACTTAATTTTATTTTAAATGTATCAATGGTGAATATTTAGTTTATTATATATTGTGAAATACTCTAAGTATTGCCACCCTTTCACGGATTTTTCTAGGATTATTATTTCTTGGTGACCTGAAAGAATTAAACATGGTGCCTGTGCTGATTTAACCCATTCGTTTCTGCAAACTGGAATCGGGGGATTTTATTTCCAACACTAGACAGTAAGGCACCAAGGGGTAGTTTTTTGTTTTTTTTTGTTTGCAGGGATATTCCTGCGCGGGCCCTAAGCCTCTGGCTGGTCCACTAAGTGTTGCTTGTTTCTGCTTTACTTGGGCGGAGTATGAGTATTTATGACTCGTATGGTCGCTTCAGTAAGATTTTGTCCCATGTGTTTAATAACTTATTCTGCTCTCTTGAATCTAAGTTGAAATCTTAATGGGTTTGTAACTCTGCACTGTGTTAGATAATGTTCTAGTGGTCTGTCTGGCATTTCTCCACAGTGCTCAAGGGGTAGTGATTACATCTGTTGTTTTCAATATGTAATACATTTGTTAACTCGTTACTGGTAGGTTTACTTACCCCTATTACCTTCCACTTACTCTTGGACAAGAGGGTTTTTGGCATTATTAATTATTCAGTGCAAGCCAGATGGGGGGGCCGAGCCGGAAGGTGATAGTTAAGACTCAATAATAAATGAACTGGGCAAAATTGGTAATCGATATGCTCAGTCACCGCTTGGGTAGGCAGTGCTGTGCGCAGCGCCGCCAATGTTCCATACTAGGTGTAAGAGAATGGTAGTGTCTCAGCCCAACGGACACACCCGGGAATACAGTCCTTGACCTAACATACGCTATGTGCCCATACAAGGCTAAGGATTTTTGTTGTTGTAATGCACTATACGAAATTATTTAGCACAAAACGGGAACATTGTCATCTCCAACAGTCAAATTTTCTGCATTCGACCAAATAGTTGCTATAAGAACTATCATTTTAGGCAGATGGGTTGACAAGTGCTTAAGCCGGTGAAGTGTAGAGTAGAGGGTTTCATCCAGGGAGATTGCGTGTAATGATCTTATATCATGGTAATTATATTGAACGCATATTTGATTTCATTATACCGTGAAATAATCCTCAAATTATGCTACAATGTACCTGTT